TTCACATAGTGCTTTTCCTTACCTGTATAACAAATCCAGCCTTTTAAAATTCCTTCTCTGTTATGTCTTTTCCTCTGAACATTAGTTTCTTACATTTCAATCTCATCTTTCCTTTAGTTAGCTGTTGTGTCTGCTACATGCTAAAGTGGTGTTAGCCAGTTAGAGAAGTCTCTTGTTTGATAGTTAAACTCACTCTGGGTATATGTCCTTTATGTTACTACAACAGAGGCTCAGTTGGAGATTCCCTTTTTTTTTTTTTTTTTTTAGCACAGGGAACACCCCTCTACAAATTGAGCCAAAGTAGTATCCTATTTTGGCTGAGCCAATAAGATCTGTGCTCACCTTATCTCATCTGCAAGTTCTTGTTTTCATATATTACACTTGCTCCCCAGACAATTTTGGGATCCTGTGCTGAAAAAAAGAAACACTACAGCAAAACCTTTTTTATTGTTAGGATGTTGGCTACAATGGATTCCTGTGCAGCAGGAGGGCATAATTTGATGGGCTGGCAGGCATACTTATATTTGCATGATAAAAGAATTATGCTGGAATTCCAAAAACACCTGCTAAGGAAGATGCCATCTTAATGAAGTTAGTTATGTAGCCTGTAATGTGATGCATGAGCAGGAGCAATAGGAAGCTACCAAAGCTAGAATGCACTTTGGTAATTAGCATTTGTAAATTAAACTTCTGGATCTTTAAAATGAGCTATAAACTATGGAATGATTCCTATGCTGGTTGATACACAAAATAAAACCAGGAAAATTAGGATAGGCAATATATAGATTGTGATGGTCTTTGCTTGTGGGAAGATTGCCTAGTGGTCAGGGCTTAGGTCCTTCCACATGCAGAGAGTGATTTTGGTAGGGGAGCGTTGACCCTCCCACTCCACTGGGCTCCAGAGCAGGGCCCAGAGAAAAAGTCAGCATTTTGTTGAGTTTTTCTGGCTCTATGCTGAATTTGAAAGGCGTAGGGTGACAGGTGAGACAGGTACCAGCGCATAAGCTGGGGGATTGTGTTCTTAATGGCATTTAACTACCTCCAGGGGACATAGCTGATGACAAGCGTGAATGAATTTCCCAGGAGGTAATATCATAGAGTCCACAGCCCATTTCACAGCAAGACTTCCCTTTTCTATTACAGAATATGCCTGTTCCTGTGGGAACAGCTTATGGCTCAAGTACAGTACTAGGTATTCTGCTCCATTTGTCTTCTGCGACAAGACAGCACCCAGTCCCATTTCTGAAGCGTCGGTCTATAAAATTAATTATTTTGAGAATCAGGACTGAATAGGACAGGCTTTTTACACAGGAATTCTTTTCCTTTCTGAAAGGCCTTTTTGCAGGCTTTGGACCAGTGTACCTTCTTGAGGCAACTGTCCTTAACTAAGTCAGTGAGAGGTACTGTGGTCATTGAAAACCCTGGCACAGATTTGCAGTAGTAACTTGCAAGCTCCAAATACTTTCTGACTTCATGGTGTGACATGGACATGCTTTGAGTGCCTGGACTTTACTCACAAGGGGCCGGACTTGGCCCTTCCCTTAAGTATATCCCAGATAGTTGGTTTCTTCCTTTCCCATCTTGCACTTTGTGGGGTTTGCCATTAGCACAGCCTGCAGTAGGGACCAAAGGACAGCAGTGATGCGTGTTAGAGGTTCATAAGGTGCATAAGCCATGTGCTTGCAAAACTCAATCCACAAAACATTGAAATGTTGCCAGGACACTGTGGAGGCCTAATGGTGTGGAAAAGGCAGTTCTCTGGTGTGAGTGGGATCTGCAAATACCCTTTCATTAGGTCTGATGTAGTTATATACCAGGTCTCATCCAGCCTGTCTAATAGCTTATCTACTCGGGACAAGGAGTAGGCATCAAATCTGGAGATCACATTGATCTTTCTGAAGTCTATACAAAACCAGATGGTGCCATCTGGCTTTGGGACCAAAACAACTGGGCTTCATCACTCACTGTGAGATTCTTCAGTGACCCTCAGCTCCAACATCACCTGGACTTCTTGCTTCACATTCTCTTGCATTTTTGGGGGGTTCTCCTGAACAAGTTGCCCAGATTCCAACTGGATGTGATGGTGCATGTGGGTCTGCCCCAGCCAGGAGGAGAACACCATCAAGAAGGCTTTTAGGAGGTTTCTCACCGGGGCACTCTGTTCTAGGCAGAGGTGTTCCCCCATATTTATAGAGTCTGGGGCCAGTGTGGTAGACATATGGGGCCTCAATTTTGGCTTGGGGCAAGGGCAATAAATATGCCTCCTCACTCTTTCCATGACTTCACAAGGCTTACATGATAGATCTGTAAGACTTTCCTCTTGTCAGGCTGCCTAATTTCATTGTTAACTGGCCTGACCTTTAGTACTACTTAGTAGTAGGGTTCCTGCCATTTGGCAAATAACTTGGACGCTGTACTTGGGAGCAGAAGGAGTACCCGATCCACCTGGCTTCAATACATGTTCATGCACCCCTTTGTTGTAGGCTCACTCCTGGGTCCGTTGAGCATTAAGGAGGTTTTATTTGGCAAAGGCTACTAGGTTCTCAAGCATCTCCTGGAGCTTCAGCACGTATGATAGGACATTCTCTGTTCTAGGAGCCTACCCATTCCACATCTTTTGGATCAGGTCAAGAATTTCCAGAGCCATCTCCCAAACGAGAGTTCAAATGGGGAAAACCCAGTAGATGATTGGGGGACTTCTTGAATAGCAAACGATGGGGGTAGGAGGATCAGCTGATCCCAATGACAGAAGTCTTCAGGCATAAACTTTTTTAACATCCTCTTCAGGGTCTGCTTGAATCAGTCAACTAGACCATTTGTCTGTGAGCGATAGGCCAATGTGTGTGAGATCTTTATTTTCAGAAGATCACATACCTATTTCAGCAGCCGAGGTATGAAGTTAGTGCCTTGATACATGAGGATATCCCTAGGTACCCTACTTGAGCAAAGACTTTCAGCAGTTCCGCAGCAATAGTCTTTGCATTAGTTTCACATAGTGGGATTGTTTCAGGATAGCATAACTGACTATTACTAATATGTGTTTGTACCCATGGGCAGTGGGTATTATAAGCTGGGGGTATTATAGTCCCCAGACAGCCTGTAGTGTCTCTGCCCAGGCCCCACCCCCAGGCCCCACCCCTCCTGCTTCCCGCTTGGCACAGCTCCAGTCTCCCTGTGGAGTGGTCCCGGCTCAGGCCACCATGCCACATGCTCTCCTGTCACTCCAGGACTGGGGCCACGCTGCCCGCCTTCCTGTCGCTCCGGGGCTGGGGTGGGGTGGGCTGGGGCCACACTGCCTGCTTGCCCATTGCAGTGGGGAGAGGGCCTCTGGGGGGGGGGAGTGGGGAAGAGGTGGGGTCTTGGGTGGAAGGGGTGGGGCTGTAGGCACTACTCTCAACTGGGAGTATGTGAGTGAACTGCTCCACGAGAATGAGCTCAGCCACCACAACTCTAGTCCACATCTCCAGCTCCAACGCTGCCAGCACAGGTCCCCTATTTTCTGGGAATCATGCAGGGCTGATCTCCCTTGGGGTACTTCTCCCCTCCAGAACCTCTGCTGGGAGGTCTCCTCAGTGGTGTGGAGGTAGTCCAGTAGGGGAACTTTCAGCTAGCCATAGTCTTGGGATGAAACTGCATCCAGAGCCTGATATGCAGCCTGGGATGATGCCATCAGGTATGATGCCAACATGGTGGCCCACTGGTTAGGTGGCTATTGGGCTGCCATTGCCACTTTTTCAAATTTTACCAAGAAGGTCTATGAATCATCATCAGGGCCCAGTTTTGTGAGTTTCACTGGTATGGGCAGGACACCTGGAGCTTGGGCTTATAGCCCCTGGAGGGGAACCCTAGGGCTGCATTAAGGTCATGATCTGTTGGACTAATCATTGCTGCGTTTCCTGCTGTTGTCCCCTAAATCCTGGACCAGCTGTTGAGGCTAAGCACCATTTGCTGACGGAGTTGTTGCAGCTGCTGGTTCTCTATCATCCACTTAAGCCAATACTCTAGATCCATTTCACTTGATCTACCAGCCCACATCTTCTAGTCTGAGGTTGTCTGATCATCTGGGTCTGTCATTCATCTCCTCTCTCCAAGGGTGGGAAAGTTGCCCACATTCTCCACCAAGTTGCGATTGTCTTTGCTTGTGGGGAGCATTGCATAGTGGTCAGTGGCTTGGGCCTTCAACATGCAGAGGGATGTTTGGTAGGGGAGTATGGGCCCTCTCACTCCTTTGGGCTCTGACCCAGGCCTGTGAGAGTGACCAAAGAGTCTGACTTCCAGGAGCACCTTAAGGCTGCCCCCGGGCCACTTCCTACTACACTACTATTGTCCAAAGTTCACATTCTGTAGAAGGAGAGTGTGAATGGGGAAAGCTCACTGCTTGGCATCTCTTAGCTGCTGGGTTTGGCATGGTAGATCTCTGCCTCTTGTAGTGGCAACTGCCTTCTCTCATGCCTTGACCCTCCAGCCAGGCCAGTTCCCATTTTCTCCCCTTCAGGGGTAGTCCATAAACAAAACATGGAGAATTAACACAAACAAACTGAGTTAACAAGTGAACAGGGGAAATGAACTTCTTCTCTGAGCCTATCAGGGAGGGATGTTCAGGCAGCTGTCAATGGGAGAGGTCCTGTCTTCTTTCAGCCCTTTCCTCAGGAGCTGCAACATGGAGGTCCTTTCTCTTCCCAGCCTGGCCACAAGTGAGATGTTCTGCTCCCTTTTAACTTCTCCTCCAGCCTGTGCATCTCTTGCAGGTGTGGCAGGGTAGGGCTGGCTGAGCCCAGAGCAGCTCCTTAACCCTTTGTTGTCTAGCATGGGCTTTCTATATGCCATTGCACAGCTATATGAAGAAGGAAAGAAATGGATATTGGGGAAATGAAAAGTCATTTGTGTTTAATTATGCCGTGTACTTCCTTAAATGTATGTGTGACTAAATTACTCAAAACTGATAATTTATTTGGTTATAAGATTGTTGATGATAACAGTGGCAAACCGAGAAAACTTCATTTCAAAGATAAATTTGAGTTTATTTTTGTTTTCATCAGCTGGCTAGCAACAGTCAGAGTTGTGAAATTCATTTCATTTGTTGAATCAGTTACAAAATTTACACTTCTTGCAATGTGGAAAATCATTCACAAATGCTGGAGAGAGAGAGACAGATACAGATTCTAATGTGTTAATCAAGGGATTCTACTAGAAACCACTTTGCAACCTTAACTGCAGTTTTGCCCCCAGAAATAGCTTTTAAGGCCTGCTCTTCAAGAATCAGTCACATTCCCATCTGTGCATGTTCAATTGCAGGCCTAGTGTTTGCACACCCTATTTACATGTGTACACAGCTTTCCAAGAGATACCTATATAGGCCATTGCATGTGTAAATCTGGGATTTGTGCATATACATAAAGTAAAGAATGTGCAAAGAAGGTGACCAACTGCATGCACTCAAGTATGTGTCAATGAGATTACCATCTGGAATCGTGTGAATTGTACACATATACATCATAGGAATATATAGAGAAGAAGGATGTATGAACTTTGACTAGGGCCCATTATCTACTACTACTTAATGAAGGGAGTGAAGATTACATTTGGTACCCATTTATGTTGCAGAATGTTGTTAATATACTGTCCAATATTCTGCTTTCTCTCTTGGGGTCTGGGTCTGATCTCTTTGTACACCTATATAACTCTCTTTGAAGACAGTGGTAGGTTTGGATGCAAAACAGATGCAGGATCATGTGCTTGTTCCACACTTTAAATGTATACTTTATTGTCAGACCTCCTAGCAACAAACAACTACAGATCTGAAGAAGAGTTTGATTGAAAATTTCAAACACGAATTAATCACTGTCACAGTGGTTTGGAACATTGGCAGTTTGACAATTAGTTCTATTACTATACAGTAGATGTTTGAAGTGAAAAATAAACCAAAATACCCGCTTCCATAACTTCCATTCCATTTCTGTGCTAAATTCCATTTTGTCCATCTTCCTCCTTTCTTTTATTGCACTCCTGATTTTAAAATAAAATCAAAAACAGGAAGTTGCACACAAAGAACTAACTAAAATAATGTAAATGTCTTGTTAAATGCCTGGAAATCCAACTAACATTTCTCATTGTGCTTTACTCATGCCTCTATACCAGACAATACAGTACACATGGTACATTTTTCTCAGACCTCCGAATTACCTAGGGTCAACAGTATGTATGTATATATGGAGTGAGAAATCTTAAATTTGAATTTCTTGGGTTGTGTATAATTAAAATCCTTACTGTTGTTCTAATGCAGGTTTTGTGTTTATTATAGAAATCCCATCAGTGAAAGTACTATTTGTAGGATTTCACCTTATGTTCAAGAAGCCATAAATACTTATGTATTAAATACATTAAAATCAGAATAAATAATTAATCATGCAATCTAAATACATGGCAATATCCTATCTGCAACAGTATCTCCACCCAAACAAATGTGCAGTGTTGAGAACTCCCTCTGGTAAGATTCCCAAACCTCTCTTCAGGTAGCTGGCTACAGCAGCCTACCAAAACAAATCTCTTCCCATGATCAAGGTCAAAGTTGGGTCAGTCATTCACAGAATATTACATCTCTTCTCAGAAACAGGAAGCATTTGATATCTGGTTTCCCTGTACACCATTCTTTGACTGAAGATGGATTTTCCCTTTGTTTCCTAGGGGGTAAAAAAATCTGTGTTAAAATTGTTATGTGTACTTAAATGTAATGACTGATATACACTTAACACTGTGATATATAGCACTCTGGAAAAACATTATGGGAATGTATAGTCTCTGGTATTCCAAAATTCTCGAGTGTGCTGTTTATGTAGGTCCCAGGTTATCCTTCATGAAACAACCTATTTTACTTGGGGCACTGGTGTATAGTCGGGTTACTTACGCAAAATGTAAGAATCATTATTTCCATATGTACAAATGACACTTTTATCTAAATGTATATCATTTTAGGTCATATAAAATGACTAGTAAGTAATACAGATTTCACATTTTACACAGTTAATTTCCTTGTTCTTCTTTACAAGAAATCTTTGGAAGTTATTATATCTAGGCATTTTTATAGACTAAAATTATATGTATTTAGATGAAAATGCCATTTGTACATATGCAAATGCTGTGAATGTTACACACCCCAACTATATGCTTGTGTTTCAAGTGAAAAATTCCAGTATGCCTCAGTTTCATCTTTAGCCACCTGAAATCTTGATTTCACTAACTTTATTCTCATGGCCCTGTTACTGATGCACCCAAAATTCCTAATGAAGTTAATGAAAGTGCTAGGCTCAAAACTCCCACTGAAGTTGCAATGGGAGTTTTAGAGTCATAAGGAATGCAGGATTGTGGTTCAGATCCAACATTTTTGTAAGTGCCCACTGATCTTCAATGTTTTAATTTTTGTGCTTTCAATTTGAGATATTTTGTTGCAGATTTCTAAGAAGCGCTAAGCACCTGCCACTCTACTGGTTTGTTTAACGAAGTCCATGGGAAAAAAAGCATGGAGGCATTTCATTGTGAATTGGGTCAGGAACACAATAGTGGAACAAAATTGCGCATAATAATAAAGCTTAAGCGGATCCCTGCCTTCACCTAAGTCACCAGAAAAGTGTTTCTTATACAGTGTCCACCAGCTCATATGTTCAAAGTATTAAAGATATTGGTAACTCATGGAGATGTGAAGAATTCCACAATTCTTCCTCACATATACTATGGGGCAGTCCAAAATGTAGATGCATTTGGGAAGTAGTAAACTTAAGAATAAAGTTAATATTGAAGACTTCTTCTCTTCTGTTGTCGGTCTCATGCAACCTGAAGCTCACACTTACACATTTACAATAATGCCTGTTCTGATTAATTTCAATGGAAAAGAAATGTCAGCTACAACTTTATGGATATCACCTCTGCCTCCCATTATAGAAAGCTATCACAGTGAATTAAATGACATGACATTTCTTGCCACAAACTTGATGACACTAGGTCTTTACTTTTAGACTTGTTTGGTTGACATAACTATTGAATAGTGATGTGTTGGGGAACTTGGTTGATGGACCTGGTGGAAAAAATACTGAAGAAAAGATAGTTGTGCACTGGAGTCACTGCTATTTGATGGCAATTTCCAGGTGACTCTGCATGATAGTTGTTCTGTCTGATTGGTTAGCTATGTTCTGTGTGGCTTATGCCTTGTTTCTCTTCCTTGCTTTGGTTCTTTTTTCTGAGTTTTCTTACAACATAAAGCAGTAAAAAATGTAAAAGATTATTCTGTGACAAGATGAACATGGCATCATATTATCCTTAACTTTTTGTTTTGGGCTCCCTCCCCCTGCCCCTTATTTCATTGTCTTCATCACTTCCAGGTTAGGCTACTACAATACACTTTAGCTCAGTTACAAATGTTTTGGGGGCCTCCTAGGCTTGAGGCCCCAGTACATCTTCTTTCAGGGTGGTGCAATATCCATCTCTTCCTCAGCTCTCCTGCCACTGCCAGCGTGTCTGCATTCACACCAGACCCACTCTGTCTTAAAAGCACAATAGTGCCCTAGACTTTTGTGTAAGATCACTAGGACTAAACTGTGTCTTGAGCAAGGGAGGGTGTGTACCCAGGAGCAGATCTTGGGAGGCATACTTCAGAGACACAATTCCCTGTCTGGTTCTCTTTGCTGCTGGCCTACGCCAGCATCAAATTACAACACCCACACTGGCTCAGCTATGGTGCTTAGTGTATTGAGGGGTGGAGCGAAGGATATATCCATCCCCTGCTCTTCCTCACCCACCTACTCAGGATCCACAGTGCACATAGCCCAAGTAGAAGTGCAGGGGAGGTTCTTTTAAGGGCTGTCCATAAATTAGGTAACAGATTACGGGGTGGGTGAATCCTTAATTTTGCTTGTGTGTTTCAATGTTACAAGGGTGGGGGGGGAGGGGTGTCCTTAAAAATCATCAAAATGTGTTACATAACTTATGGGTCAGCCCCATACTTCCTTTCCTGGACACACAGACCAAGACACTATCCTCCTGTAGGATGTTTTTTTGTTTGTTTTTGTTTTAGCATCTCAGCGTCCTCCACTCTTCCTAAGAGAGCGAGATAGGAAATGATGCAAATCTTGCTATAAAGTGTAGGGGAGTTTTCTAGGGTTAAACATGTTCTAGTCTCTTTTCTGCTTCAAAAATAACAATTGCATAACCATAAGGACTGCAGGCTCCTGAGGTGGTCAAGGAAAAAAAATACTTTGAAAGGGTTGTTTTAGGGCTCATTAGCTCCTCTTTACCTTTTTAGCCTCCAGTGTTCTAGGAGAGATCATTTAAAAGTTTTCCTTTCTCTGGAAAGAAGGGGCTCAACCTACAATCCCCATAACTTTTCTTCTTCTTCATAATCAGTGCCACAGTTTCTACTAGCCAACCAGGAAGATGAGAGTGAGTTTGGAAGTGCGAGTGCTGATCATAATTCATAATTTTATTCAATAGATACTCTAATTTTAATGCTAGCAAGGCATCTCTTTTAACCCTGTTAATGTAGTGACTATTGTGAAGGGTTCTTTGAATTGTGGATGGGATTTTTGATTTAATATAAATGAGTAAAACTAAAAGGTGGAAGTTGTTGGGTATTTTTTCCCCATGGAAAAAACTTGTAAAATGCTGGATTAGTGCAATAAATACAGTGGTTCTTTCATCCAAATAGCCCACATAATTAAAAAAGAAACACACACAATGTACCTTTTGGTTTCTTCTCTGTAATTATGCTAACAAGAGTCATGCTGAGAAAGGATTACGGCTGATGGACAATCAAAGACAATGCTTCCTTCATGGTAAAAAGGTGTGAAAAGATATAGGCACTAGAGCTGGAGTTATTAGGCATACCTGCAGGAGGCCCATATGACTAAGTTAGGCCAAGAGATGCTAAAGTATAGAAAATGCTTAGTCACTATTATAAGCTCTTCAATGACATCTTATAACACCTTTTGATTCTAAAGGAAAAGCCACAATGCAAATATTCCTCTGACAGGTTCTACTTAGTGTTTATCACTCAGCATGGCAGCCATGACACCTGGCTGAGTAAAAATCCCAGTGGGAGACTAGCACTCGGCCTACCAGCAGGATATGGGCACCTGCAGCATCTGAAAGAACAAGACTAAAGATTAAAGAGGCAGGAAGGGCCTATGGAATAAGCCCTCTTCCAATTTTATTCTGTATTCCATAAAATAAGAGAATGGAATTAAAAGGCAAAAATCAAAGGAAATGTTGCATAACGCCCTCTAATACTCTGTATCAACATTATTATACTTTCTTTGGAATGTTCTAAAGAATGACTAAACTAAGATAATCAGGAGAGAGACAACAAAAAGGCCTTTCAGTTTAATCACATTATCAAGTGATTATGATACATTTTATATAATTTATACACAATATGGTTCAGTCCGTTTTTTATTCAATCTTTCTCTCCTGAAAATATTTTCCTTTAATTTCAAAGAACAAGATTTAAAGATTGGGTCTCTTTTATTTCCTTTTTGTAGCAGAATGTTTATATTATGCCTTTAAGATTAGTTTCTAACTTTTTTGTGTGTGCCACTCTTTAAAACAGCATAATAATTGTATTTTGCCTTGTTTCTTACTGTATGGGCTATTGATATTAGCCTGTGAAAACCCCTGCTCTACAATTGAACTAATCATAAAATACTAAGTAAACATCTCTTTGCATCAAGAATATATATTAAGTTACATTCCACACAGACGATGTGAAATAAAAATATTGTATCTTAGAAATGGGTATCTAATACAAATGTTATTAATGTACCTCCCAAAGATTGCTCAGAGGCAAAGGTGACCACAAGGGCAGAGGTAGATGGTTACAAGCTGCCTTCTCTAACATCTGTGTAAATAGTGGAACTCAAAGTTCCAAGGCCTGCAGTTTCAAATATTATACAAAAAAGTCTCTCTCTGTAACTGTACTAAGATATTGCCTGTAGTATCTATTTTTTTCTTCACTGCTGCTGGTATTATTTAAGGAAAATACCAGAAGACCACCAAGGAAGAAAGGGGCAGAAAGAGGACACAGGAATAATAAATGCGAAGATTTAATTGACACGGTAGTTGTTCATACTATCTGTTCTTCTTTGGGGATGTTATCCTTTGCATACTAATAATGCTAATCTTCTAAGGAACCATATTGAACTGCATCATAAAAAATAACCAACATTCCAAAAATAAAGTTTCTTTTATTTTTTGTATTATGCTGTTCCCAAGAGCAAAATATTTTGAGTGTTAGAACAGGTAAGGAGGGTGTTTATAATAAGGTTTGATATCAGTGAAAGGCAGCTAATAGTGTTAGCTGATAGTGCCATAAACAAATATGGCAATGTACAACACTTTGTACATTAAAATCAAAAGGAAGGATGATTTTATGGTTCAAAACAGGGACTAGGGAGTACTCAAGACTTGGTCTAGTTCTATTTTCAACTCTTTCCTAGACCTTCCGTGTGACTTTGGGCAAGTCAACTATTGCCTGATTTCATACCCCAACCTTTGTTTCTCTGTGCACAATGTTCTTGGTGTGACACTTGAATAATTTTAACATATGCTCATATACAGGTATTACAGTTTTCACTGCAGATGTATTTGTCCAAATGGGTTTTGTGGGTGCAAATTTTAACACTTGTCTGCATCTTCAAAGTGCAGCCTCATGTGTGTATGTAGAAGAAGAGGCAAGATAAGGCCAAACTGAAAATCTGGCCTTAAATCTCTCTGCATCTTAGTTTTGGTCTCCGCCCCCTTGTCTCTAATGGAATAGTAATAGCTACTGACCATACAGACTTGAAATCAATCTAAAGTCAATAATGCTTGTAAATGCAGAATTAGGGTTGGGGAGGAAATCTTAAAATGATGCTTCCTTGCAAATAGTCATTCAAGCTGGTAGTCACAAATTGAGTTAGGCTCATTCAGTTTGTTGGCAATTTCAAGAAAGTCCTCCCAAAATCATTTTGGGTCAACCAAAAATTTGTTTCCATAAAATCACTGACCATTTTTAAATGTATACTTTACAAAAATAAAATTAAAGGAAATTGTAAAAAAAAAGTAATTTTAAAACAAAAGAACTATTTCATTCTGAAAATGTTGAAACAAAACTTTGTCCCCCCTCCCAAAGGTCCCCAAAAAGACCAATTTGGCAAAATTGGCACAAACTCACAAAATGTTTGTGGTGTTGAATCTGCATTTTTAACAAAAAAAAAAGTTTCAGATAAAATATTTCACACATCTCTAATCAGAAATGGTCCTTAACCTTCTAAACCAAAGCTAATTACACCCAGTTTATTCTGGTTTTATCTTGCCTCAGGAGAAGTATGTTCAAGCTAAAAGCCTCACTTTTTGCTGCAGAGCATATTGTAATAAACTGGTTAGTGTATACGTACTGCTGTAGCACTGGTTTTGAAACTGTGGGGCACATGCCCTTGGGGTGGAATGACAAGGTTATCATGGAGGTGTAAGGGGGGCACAGGGCAGAGGCCAGCCAGATGTCTGGTTCAAGGCAGGGCAGCGGTGGACAGAGCATGCAGGGAGACTCCAGCAGTCAGGGTGAGGGGGGAATGCAGTTCTGTTCTGCTCTGACAAGCTCTGACCCACCACAGGAGCGGCCTGCTGGTCTCCCCTTCCTGACCACTGGGGACACAATGTGTGCTCTCCCCGTTGCTGTCCTGCCCTGGCCGGGATGCCCCGCCAGCCAAAACCCTGCATATTTTAAACACTCCAGAGCCTGCAGGAGCGAGAGGATCTAGGTAGGGGGGAGGGAGGACAAAGACCCCCAGTCCGCTTCATGCTGTGCTGCCATAGGCTCCTCCGGGGTTAGAGCCAGCAGGGTCCTGCAGCTGCCCCAGGTGTGAGACACTCACTCCCCTCAGTCAGTCACTTTTTGTCATGTACAGGCAAGTGTGTGGGGGGGGAGGGGGGCAGTCAACTAATTCCCATGGAGAAGGCGGGGGCTCAGCAAAAAAATAATAATTCAGGAACCTGTGTTCTGTAGGAAGGAATCAAAACTGATCAACTGTGTCACAGGCCCTGAAGTGATAATTGGGAGACTCTCTTTTAGATTAAATGACAGGGGGTGTACTTTTGAAGTAGGAAAGTTGGGCTCTCTCACTGCTTTTGTGGTGAAGTTCTGAGTGGCCCAGATGTGAAGCATAGTGTTTACCAGGAAGTCCATATATGTTACATTGATTTTAGTATGGTTATAGTCTGAAAAATGACTTTGTAAAAATGGAACTGTGTAGTCCTATACTTTAGTCTTTCCCAGTGGCTTCTAGATGAAATCTGCTCAGTCTGTGGGAAAGCAGTTGTTTTTATTATTTTTTTCCTGACAGTCCTGTAAACAATCAAATTGGGCTCTTTCTGACTGATGTATCATCAGTCATAAGATTCTGGAGTCAGAACAAGACCATGTCTTATTATATGTTTTTTTACTTTGCCAATCACAATGGGGCTCTCATCTTGACTGGGATCTTTAGCTACTGCTAAACAATAAATAATAATAGCAAAGAATGTTGTTGATGATACACAATCTGAATAGAATCTGGCTCACTTTCCTAGAATTCTATAACTATCAGGAGTAAAATCTTGTAAACTGATTTTGGTCAGAAAAGTAAGCAGATATGACCCTGAATACAGACAAAGGAGCAGGTCCATGATGTAAAATGGAAATCTCTTACTTTAGAACCACCCTTTTACAGCACAGTAATTTCCTTGATGTAGGAATTCTCTCTCATCTTTGAGGTTCCCCAAGGGCAAAACTCAATTTTTTCCTTATACATTTCCTATATACATTTCTTATTGCTGAAAGGTGTGAAACCAGTTTAGCACCTTTTGGAACATTGCATAAAAATAGGAATAGAACAAAAACCAAAACCAAACATACAAAACAGCCGCAGCAGCCAGGGAAGCTATTGTCCTTGACAGTTGGAGAAATATAGAAAGGTTTGTTGAAACTGTTTGTGAGCCTGGGGTATTTCTTGTTGAAGGTAATTATTAAGCCATTATATTATAATTTTACTCAAACTCTTTTCCTTAAGGGAAATTGCATAAGAATGATGCAAGAATTTCCTAAACATTCCCTGACATAGTTAGAATAATAGATATTAGAGATGGAAAAGACCTATTAATTCATCTAATCCATGCCCAGTGAAGAAATGGTTCCCTACAGTACACTTATTGGCAATTATCTAATCTAAATTTTAAATGTGTGAAGAAATGGGGATTGCATGAGATTTTTTACTATATTATTTTAAATATGATTAATTCAGGCAAATACTAAATTTTTCATGTGCAACACTATGGATGCAATTTCTATGGTGACATGATAACAGTCTACAGTTTTTTAAAGTTTGTGAACACCAAGGCGGAAGAGGATCTGTCAGGGGTGATTAACTAAGATGTTCAAGGCTCATATATTTTGGGATAAGAATGCATAGTTCAGAGAAATGCTTGAAACTGGTGACTAAGCAGAGACCCAGATACCATGAGCAGCCCAATTCTTGCACTCACACTGCTTTTACACTAAAATAATTCCAGTGATTTCAGTAGAGTTGCTCCTGATTCACATCAGTGCTAGTGAGATCAGAGTCAAAGTTCCATGTCCCTAAAGGACTTTGCCTAGAGGTAGAGGGCTTTTCTATTCTCCCAGATGGCTTGTGTATATTCTACTGTCAGACACTTTCTGACTCCAAGAGGGGGAGTTGACTCTGAGCAGCACCAAAATGCTATGTTCCTATTTGTTGCCTCTTGCTTGATTGGCAGTCAGTGGAGAACTGACTTTCTCCTCCCTCCTCATGGTGGAACAGAGTCACAGTAAGGAATTACTAGGTAAGACAATCTCCTTTTAACCTATTTTTAGTAGACGTATTTTTACACTAGCACATTTCTTTAGTGACAAGAACACAAATATCGTGATCACATCAGCATTTACAGTTTCCCAAATTTTATTTTAACCAAGAGTTAATGATATATGGCATTGCTAGTAACTAAATGAATATTTGAATTGCTGTACGTTATTTTAATAATTGCTCAGATCACCATTTAAATTATCAAAGATCTTTACTTGTGCAATGTCATATAAATGCTAGAAATTAAAAATTAATCAACTCGATTTACGTAACTAAAAGCTGCCATCTAATGGAATATTTTTCAATAAGAAGACAGCAGTAATTATGCTGAAAAAATATTCGTTCCTGTAGTTTGAACGATTATAGCAATTTCCACCAGGGGATTTCGCAGTGAGATTCCAGTTCTGGGCAACAGTGATTAATATAATGGTTATTAATGAGAAGTCATTTTTGTACGTCTAGGGGTGTTTGGGTGTCAATGTTCTGAAAGCAATGTGTTTAGCATATTAATAAAAGATAGCATTGGATTGGTGACTAAGTAACCATATTGATTTTTTTCTCATTTTCTGTGATGTGAAAGGTCAATTAGACTTATAGAAACAATGGAGCCTTTCACAGCAGGGCCTATCATTTCTCTGTGCTGACATCTTTTTTAACCATGTACAAAGTTCATTAAATGTGCAAAAGTAGTAATGTTAAAAGGAAGAAAGTGATTGGGTCAGAGGTCACAAACCATGGCAAGCTGACAGCCTCTCGTGGATTACACCACAGGAGCTAAGTAATAGTGAGAATTGCCTTTCAGGTTGCCCACTGGGGCTGAGGAGAGTGAAGTCATAAGCAGCTAATACTATTGGGTTAATTAAAATGAATATTGGCAGCAGCTTTGTTTGTCTTGCATTGAGTGGGATGCTGTTAACGAAGTATTTCATAGGGTTACATAACAATAGTGAATTTTGTCTTAAATAACAGATTGCCAAATTTTCCTATCTACTATGGCCAGTGTGAAAATAAACTAATATTGAATCAAACATGTCTGACTTCTATTTCACTGTCTCTTTTCAGACGTGTTGTCATATGCAACCTATTTAAGTCATTTTCCTTCTCTTTGAAGTCTACTGTCCCAGACATTTTCACAAATAGGTTAAAAGGAGCTAGAGTTCTCTTTTTTTCATAAATTGACACAGCTTAATATATTTGACTGAAGTCTCCATAATCATTTTGTACTTTATGCAATTATGAATTAAAGCTTTCAACTCTTTAAAACAGTCTTACTAATTTAAAGCCAGGAGATTGAAAACATATAAGGCAAAACAAAAATCCTGACCATAAGGACAAGAGGTGTTATAATTTAGAATGTGAGTGGATTCATTATTATTCTAATGCTTGGAGAACAACTGAATAAAGTATTATTGATAATCCTGGTGAAATTAATAACTTTAACAGCACATCTGTGAAGATTTCAAATTGATAGTCATTGTCTCATAAAAATGACAGTTTTTTTATTCTGTACGTCCAAGAAAATAACTCCACATTTTTATACGTTTTCAAAGTGCTGTTTTTCACTGTGTTGCTGGTAACATTAATTGTATGCTAGATGTGACTAATTTGCTTGTACTGTTCATCTCAAAACATCAGGGTTTTTACTTCACCTTGCTACAAAGAAAGAACTTGATGTGAAGTCTCCATGTAGCAATCTGTGTCTGATTGCTTGGAATTTTGTGTGATCATTCTTTGATTTCAAAATGAGCTCAGAGTTGACACTGCACTGCAGATGTACAGGTAGACTTCAAAGCTGACTTTATTCTTCCATTTTCTATTCTGACACTCGTCGTTCTTTTGGTTTGTTTTGCTGAAACCTACAGTAATACATACAGCATTATCTGACATTGTGCTGGAGAGAGATGTAAGCAGAAATATAATTAATCTCTACTTTTTTCTTGGTTCACAAACAATGAAAAATGAAATCAAACTTAATCAAACTTCCTGTGTCTACATGGGGTGGAGTTAATCAGCTAGCAATCATTAATATCAGAAAAATCCTCTTGAAAAAATATAAGAAAAACATACACTAACATGAGTTGACCAGACCTGTAATGAAATAAATAAAAATTATTGAAATGTACAAGCTATATTCTGTTTCAGGGGGGAAAGTAAATATTCCACAGAATATTCAGCAAACTCAAAAGAATTGTCTGTCCCATTATATACTTGAATGGCATAGTTTTCCATTTTTTTCTGGAATTATTTTTTAAATGGAATTAGACAATTTCAAAATTGGAAAATGGAGAATAATTAATTAGGTGACAGAAGCAAGTCGCACCTACAATGAGATGATCTTGCCTCTTTTATTCCATACCATTTCTTATATATATTAAGAATATTTAAAATAGCTATACCACTGGTTTGGTGTGGTGTATGGTGACAAGGGTATGGATATTACCTATAAGGGTTCAAAGAAGGGCTCAGTTTAGTAGTGAGTTACATAGAAAAGGGGCATGACTATCCCACATGGTTACTATTCTCAAATACATTTTGTAGCAATTAATGCAATAATTAATTTCCACCTTCACTACAGGGTTGTAAATAAGTTCATACATCAAGTGTGCATCATCTATGTTGTTTGAATGTATAGGGTTTAACAGGAAAGCAGGGTAACCACTGGGCTCCAACTGTCCCTGTCTGTCTTAGATACCTTTATGATCCCTCCATCACTGTAGTATTCGAACCTCACCATCTTTAATGCATTTGTCCTCATGATACCCCTGTGAAGGAAGTTCTATTATCCCCATTTTACAGATGGAGTACTGAGGAACACAGACTTGCCCAATGTCACATACAAAGTATATGGTGAAGCAAAGAATTTAATCCTAGGCTAGTGTCCTAACCACTGTGTTACCCTTTCCCTCCTTCAAACTAGAGTGCTCATTGGCTGAGAAGGCCACTAGGTATTCTGACAGGTATTCCAACAGCTCTGGACAGCAGCTGCCCAGTGGAAAGTCCCATGGACCCAAGGGAGAAGGGATGCAAAAAGCAGCCTCATTTCCATTCACTTTTATTGCCTTACTTCAAAAACTCAGTGTATGCAGCGCTCAGTAAATAAGCACTGTGCCAGAGAGAAGGGTGAGCATCTGACACTAGTGTTCACACTGTTCACAGTTCTCACGTGATGGTTGTTAACACCACTGCCAGTGTGCACAGGGCAGTAATGACCATAGCAATATAGTTACTATCCTCATATAGGTTGAAACATGTCCAGTCTTAATGAAATAGTTTCCTCAATGGGTGTATCATTCTAAGGCTTGAGTAATCCATCCCCAAGGCAAGGGACACAGGGAAGTAAGCAGGTTGTATACTGCAACTAAACATATCCTGCAGAGCCCTGCTCCTTGGCATGCCTCATCCATGACTTATATAGCACATCTGCAGTGATGCAATTTTGCCTACTGGTGTCCTTGATATTTGTGGCTAATGATTCGTTGCAGCCACTGATATATCAGGGGCTATCGTTTTGTGCAGAGTTTTTTAGCAGCCAAAGTTACACCTCTAGTAGGTTGACCAGGATGCATATTTAAAGCAAATGGGCCATTTCCCACTGTCGTTCAAGATCCTCCCATAGTACTGCAGTGTGCTTGTCCTAGCAGTTGTATACAAAGTATGACTGAATCAAATGTCCAGTGCTGTGCATTAGATTTATTCCATGGCTCTACACCAGTATATAAAATTGGCCCTCAAGGCAAGTAATATTGGTTCCAGGGGACCTATTGAGATTAATCAATGTAAAACTCCCTTCTCCTGTATTGTAATGGTCATAAGTGGAATCATTTTTTACAGTCTCAATTTCTTTTTTCTAAAAGGAGTTTATAAGTTCTCAATTTTTGTCCTATTATGCCACGGTTCATTTAAAAAAATTAATTCACAGCCTTTGGCAGACAGAGCTTATGTACAATGAAGAGAGACTTTAGTAAGTCCATTTACAAATGCTTCAAGAGTCATGGGACAAGAGAGAAGGCAGAAGAATGGAATGTCACAATATGACACACAATTCTGATGCAGCTTCTGCTGGAGATAATTCATTTATTTAAATCTGGAGTGTGTGTCAGGGAGACCAGTTTAACATCAAATGGCAGCCAATGTCTTTCAAATTAAGCCTATATATTTATTTCTCTTTAGCAAGTAAATATGAGTAGTAAGAGTTTTGTGAATAAAAGTGTAACAATTCATAAATTTCATCCAGCAATGCATTTCTCAACCTTCTAATAAACTGAAGGCTTTCATCCATTTTTTTCATACCCATGATACTCATGTATGCTGAAGTTATCACTTAAATAATTTGCCTCTGTATTTTCTCTATTCTAGAATATACTTTTTCTTTATATTTCTTATTTTTAAAGGATATTTTTTGAACAAAGTGCTTCTTCACAAATGGAAAAAGCTCTATTACCAAGATTACAGCTCAGCTCTAAGGTGTAAAAGTTAACAAAAGACATTTTAAAACCATCTTGTGCCATTTCAGACATGATTGCTTCCCTTTACACCTTTTGCTGCCACTCATTCTGATGTCACAGTTTCCCACCTACAAATTTTGCCGTATTGTACCTTCTTCCGTTTTAAATATGAAGGGAAGCACTTATGTAAACTGGCTATATGCTGAACTACAATGTCATCAGATTGAGTAGGAGAAATGATTTATCATTGAGGAGGGAAATGACATTTCATTTGCCACACACTTTGAAATGTTTTCTTAAACATGTGATACTTTAGGAGAATGCTGCTTTAAAAATGACAAGAAATTATTTATTACGTGGTGCCTTAATTTCAGAGTTCAAAGGCCCTAATTTTTAGGAAAGCATCCCTAATCAGGAATGGTGTTTAAGCATGTGCTTAACGTTAACTATGTGTTTAAGTCTCCTTGAAGTAAATGGGAGTTAAGCACATGTTTAAAGTTAAGCATAAGCTTAAATACTTTCCTGAACTGAGTCCAAAATAGGGCCAAATTGTGTCCATCTGATGCTCATCAAACAGCTCCCATTGACTTGGAGGAGCTCATCTGAACTTGATTCCAAACTATTCAGATTACTCAGGCCATATTCTCAGCTAGAGCTAGGCCAGTTTACAGAAGCTGAGGATCTGGCCTAATAATGTTAAGTTGCTCCGCAGAAAATGTGAAAGAAATAGTCGAAAATCCCACAAAGCCTGAAGTCCAGTCACTACCCTGCCCTCACAGAAAATATCCAGTATATGCTATTATTTATTTCATGATTCTAGGCTTTTTATTCCATTACAAAAGGAATCATAAGCCCTATGTGCCCATGTAAGAGGAAACAATGAGAAAAACAGGGTCCCCTATGAAAGGTACCAGAAGTAGAGTTGGTCAAAAATGTTACAGGTTTTTGTCACAAACCCATTTTTGTTGTTGTTGAAAATCAAAACAATTCTATTTTTTAATTTGGTTGAAACCTGAAAAAATCTTCCTTTTTTTATTTATGAAAACCCCAAATGTTCTTTTTTGTCAATTTTTTTTTTTGGAGAAAATAAAACACATTTTTCAACGAGCTCTGGCCAGAAGCCCAGTACTCAAAGAATCAAACATAGTCACATAGGACTTGCCAAACTGGATCACACCCAGGATCCATCTGGTCCAGTATCCTGTGTCTGACAGTGGCAGGTATTCAAAGGAATGTACAAGAAAGCCTGTAGAAAGCAGTTATAGAATAAACTTGCCCCTGGGGATAGCTTCTTTCTAATCCTCATTACTGAGAGGCTGGCTTATACTCTGCAGCATGAGGGTCAGCAACTGGAGTGCTTCAGCAATGGTGGAACATCTCTATACAGAAACAGAATTCTTTTTCAGGGTTCCAAGAGATTGTTGTAAACCAGTGTCCTTTTTTTTTTAATTGTGGAACACTGTGGAAAATATTTTAACGGGGTCCTTTTTAAATGTATACCGTATGGCAACACAACAACAACTATATATGAAGTCAACTTATTCTTTATTAAATCCAGGCTTCATCTAATAGTTTCAACATACTTAGAAAAAAAAGTTATATACAAATGGCCTCAGTCTTTTGGAAAGGCTGTGACCTGAATGGTATTTAAAAGTCCACAGGAGTATATAGGAATGAACACAGCAGTTGTTCCTTCATAGTATGTTATTACAAAGAGAACTGGGGGTCAAATTGCATGAATGATAAATGGAAGGTGCTTGAAATGAGTTAGTTCTTTTTTGAACATTATACATTGACCTTGGCAGTTTTGACAATTACATCCATCATTTCTCAGAATCCATTCCAGCTCACCCGACTGTTCTCTAATGTGGCCAAATAAACAGGGATTTGTGAATATACGAATCAAAGATTGATCTTCTGTGCCAATGCGCTGATTAACAGTTGGTTTCTGGGTGTAGCTTTTTCATTCTATGAATTATGCGAGGATCATAATTCACCATGGCACACCTGTAGACAAGCGTGTTAGAATGCTTTAATCTTCACTTACAAGGCCTCAGTAGAATTGATAGTTGGCTCCTGAGTTTGATAAGCAAAATGAAATAAAACCGTGAAAAAAGCACATTGTATACAGCAAAAGTGATATTTCACTGCCTCACTGTGTTTTTCTTTAGGAACAGAATTTGTTGAAGACAGAGATGGGACAAAGCAATTTGTTTAACTACCTCTGAAGTTTAGCTACCTCCAAACATTGAGATCCCCAGCTACTCAAGAGTCAAATAGAAATTGTATTAGGAATATAGAACTTAGCCATCCAATTAGGTCGCCTACCACAGAAAAGCAATACAAACAGGTCCTGTGACTTTGAGACAGCTCTTACTTTTTGTAGTGTGTCCCAAATATTTATTTGGAAA